TTTATATTTGCCGCCAGGAACATGGTAGTGGCTGGACGAGTACTTCGCCGAGCAAGCGATGGATGGACTTTGCGGGGACCGGGCACAGAAGCCCCGAAGCCTGCATTGTATTGCAAAGTAGCCAGGTCCCGGGAACGGCGATGGCGATCAATGCGTCGCCAAAGTAGTTATCGGGAGCAAATGGACATCGGGGCGAGCGGCGGCGCATAAGCGGAAGTCCTACCATATAGCTGCGAGTCCACGGTAAGTGTAATACCAGGAAAGCGATCACGCTCAGCAGCCAGAGCTGGGCTCGGATGCTGAGCCGCTGAGCCGCACATAGCTATTGTCGCGATGAGCGTGAAAGAGGACAAGGACTTGCCATGCTTGCCGGAGCATGCAATGGCACTCAGCGGAAATAGCGCGCGAAATGCACCGGTAACATACGGCAGGTACATTAATGTAGTCTGAGATGATTTAGGCTCGTGAGAGCTAGTACAGTACTCTACAGCATGCACCTCTAAGCAACAGTATCTAACTATCTAACATACACTCAGGCGCGAGACGCTAAGGAGAGCTGCTGAATACTTCAGCCTGAGCATCCGCGGAAGTCGCGTCCGAGTCTCACTCCACTCCGTCACACCTGCTCTCCCACTCAGAAGATGGTGTCAGCCCAATCACCACCGTACATCCCTGCAAAATCATGCCAGTGCACCGGTCAGCATCATCCCACGATAGTACCAGACAACAGGACGTACAGAAGTTCAGCGTCGACTTGACCAGAGTGTCGGGCTGGCCAGGAGTGCAGTTCTGCAAGCGCAAACGGCGCGCCGACCAGTCAGTCTCTGCTACATCAGAGCGTCCAGACGAATGACAGCCACGTACCCCGGGAGGATAGTTGCCGTCGTTAGTGTGGATCCGGTAGATCTGGTCCGCAAGCATGCCGTCTTGTGTGCCGTTGACCACAATCGCAGCCGAGCTGATCCACGGCGCATCGGACGTCGCGTTGTCCGGAGACGGGACCATCGCCGTGTCCCCGCCAACGACGAACGCGTTCTTCACGTTAGGGTCGTTCATCAGACGCTGCTGGCTGAAGTCCCACACGGAGTTGATCGCAAGCGGGTTGGTCGGGTCGAGCGGGCTCGGGATCCAGTAGTGGATGCCGAGCGAGAAGTTGGAGCTCACGCCCTGGGTCGCGATGTTGATGACCTCCTGCGGCGACACGCCCTCACCGGCAGCCTCCCAGAAGTTGGAGACGAAGGTGGTGAAGTCCGGGACACTCTCCATGGGAAGGCAGGAGATGTCGAAGAGCTCGGTAACGGCACCGATGTTGCTGTGGAACGCAAAAGGGTTGAGTCAGTTGATTGATACTGGTGCAGCCGAACTCGAACTTGAAAGAGAGGGAGAAAGAGAAAGCAAACGTACAAGTAGGTGCCGTTGTCGAGGCAGCTGTAGTTCTGGTAGCCGACGGACAGAGCGACGAAGGTGGGGTACTCGGCGACGGGCGGTGTCAGCTTGTTGTCTGCTCCCAGCATCTCATTGAACATGGACTCGATGTCGAACCCCTTGGTGGAGCAGATCGACCCCTGGCCGGCACGGCTCATGGACCGCGGCTCGGGGGTGGGGGTCGCCTGGGCGAGCAGAGGGAGAGCAAGAGCAGCAGAGAGCACCTTGAAGGTAGACCACATGGCTTGTGTCGGTCTTGGTGTGTCGGTTGCGAAGAGAATGCTTGAAGCACTGCAGGATGTCGACGATCTTGGCCATGTTTTATACCCGAGAGATGGGCCCGGAGTGCCGATGCTGAATGCTAAGTGGGCAATAGACCTTAGGCGACTTCAGGTTGCATCGTCGGAACGCGCGTACTACGGGTCCACCAGCAGTGCGACAGTGGACGGAGGTGGGGTCGGAGACAAGAGGGGGGACGGGAAAATTGCGCACGGGACGCGCATGGGCGGGATCCAATGGCGTCCAACATAACCGAATGATGACCGGATCACGGTGCACTGGACAGCATGCTCCTCTGGAATCGAGATATTGCCATTCGCCGTGTGCCCTCAGCCGAGGCTCAAGTCTGAGCGCTGAGCGCTGAGCTGTTATGTCGCAACGCGCATTCTGGAGAAGTCGGAAGGACGCAAGAGTGGCGGCTGGGACCTACAACAACGCAGCAACATGCTATCAGAAGGCATCCTCAACTGGAGTACGCGGCTGACTGAACTGCGATGTGATGTCGTGTCGCACTTTTGGCATCAGCTTCGTGGCAGGGGACGAATGCGGATTGTCTCAGAAGTATTCGGTGACTCCTTGGTGAGGTGTTGGCGCGATGTTCTCGGGGCTCCCGTACGCTGCAGACACTCGAGCGAGGCAGGGTGCGAAGACAACATTCGCTT